AGTGGGTTTCTTATGGATTAAAATGAGGTATACAAAACTGTCATATCTTGAAAACTGTCAAAATTATTTGCAGGAATAGGGAAAATACAATATACTAAGAAATTTACTCTGTACCAAAAATTGCAATCATATCCCAATTTTAAGAACTTAGTATTTTTGAATAAGCGATATGGCAAAAGAATGTGCGTTTCTTATGGATTAAAATGAGGTATAAAAACTTTCGTAGCTTGAAAACTGTCAAAGTTATTTGCAGGAATAGGGAAAATACAATATACTAAGAAATTTACTCTGTACCAAAAATTGTAATAATATCCCAATTTTACAATTTTAAGAACTAAGGATTTTTAAAGAAGCGAAATATCAAAAGAAAGTGGGTTTCTTACAATATACTAAGAAATTTACTCTGTACCAAAAATTGTAATGATATCCCAATTTTACCAATTTTAAGAACTAAAGATTTTTAAAGAAGTGATATGTCAAAAGAAAGAGGGTTTCTTACAATATACTAAGAAATTTACTCTGTACCAAAAATTGTAATGATATCCTAATTTTACCAAATTTAAGGACTTAAGATTTTTGAATAAGCGAAATGTCAAAAGAAAGTGCGTTTCTTATGGATTACAATGAGGTATACAAAACTGCCCTAGCTTGAAAACTGTCAAAGTTATTTGCATGAATAGGGAAAATACAATATACTAAGAAATTAACCCTGTGCCAAAAATTGTAATGATATCCCAATTTTAAGAACTTATGATTTTTCAATAAGCGATATGTCAGAAAAAAGTGCGTTTCTTATGGATTAAAATGAGGTATACAAAACTGTCTTAGCTTGAAAACTGTCAAAGTAATTTGCAGGAATAGGGAAAATACAATATACTAAGAAATTTACTCTGTACCAAAAATTGCAATGATATCCCCATTTTAAGAACTTAGGATTTTTGAATAAGCGATATGTCAAAAGAAAGTGGGTTTCTTATGGATTAAAATGAGGTATACAAAACTGTCGTAGCTTGAAAATGGTCAAAGTTATTTGCAGGAATAGGGAAAATACAATATAATAAGAAATTTGCTCTGTACCAAAAATTGCAATGATATCCCAATTTTACAAATTTTAAAAACTTAAGATTTTTGAATAAGCGAAATGTCAAAAGAAAGTGCGTTTCTTATGGATTACAATGAGGTATACAAAACTGCCCTAGCTTAAAAACTGTCAAAGTTATTTGCATGAATAGGGAAAATACAATATACTAAGAAATTTACTCTGTACCAAAAATTGCAATGATATCCCCATTTTAAGAACTTAGGATTTTTGAATAAGCGATATGTCAAAAGAAAGTGGGTTTCTTATGGATTAAAATGAGGTATACAAAACTGTCGTAGCTTGAAAATGGTCAAAGTTATTTGCAGGAATAGGGAAAATACAATATAATAAGAAATTTGCTCTGTACCAAAAATTGCAATGATATCCCAATTTTACAAATTTTAAAAACTTAAGATTTTTGAATAAGCGATATGTCAAAAGAAGGTGCGTTTCTAATGGATTAAAATTAGGTATACAAAACTGTCGTAGCTTGAAAACTGTCAAAGTTATTTGCAGGAATAGGGAAAATACAATATACTAAGAAATTTACTCTGTACCAAAAATTGCAATGATATCCCAATTTTGCCAATTTTAAGAAGTTGTTTGCAGGAATAGGATAAATAAAATATACTAATAAATTTACTCTAATACTAAGAAATTTACTCTGTACCAAAAATTGCAATGATATCCCAATTTAAAGAACTTAAGATTTTTGAATAAGCGATATGTCAAAAGAAAGAGCATTTCTTATGGAGTAAAATGAGGTATACAAATCTGTCGTAGCTTGAAAACTGTTAAAGTAGTTTGCAGGAAAAAGGGAAAATACAATATACTAAGAAATTTACTCTGTACCAAATATTGCAATGATATCCCAATTTTAAGAACTTATGATTTTTAAATAAGCTATATGGCTAAAGAAAGTGCGTTTCTTATGGATTAAAATGAGGTATACAAAACTGTCGTAGCTTGAAAACTGTATAAGTAATTTGCAGGCATAGGGAAAATACAATATACTAAGAAATTTACTCTGTACCAAAAATTGTAATAATATCTCAATTTTACCAATTTTAAGAAGTAAGGTTTCTTAAAGAATCGATATGTCAAAAGAAAGTGGGTTTCTTACAATATACTAAGAAATTTACTCTGTACCAAAAATTGTAATGATAGCCCAATTTTACCAAATTTAAGAACTTAAGATTTTTGAATAAGCGATATGTCAAAAGAAAGTGGGTTTCTTATGGATTAAAATGAGGTATACAAAACAATCGTAGCTTGAAAACTGTCAAGGTTGTTTGCAGGAATAGGGAAAATACAATATACTAATAAATTTACTCTGTAGTAAAAATTGCAATGATATCCCAATTTTAAGAACTTAAGATTTTTGAATAAGCGATATGTCAAAAGAATTTGCGTTTCTTATGGATTAAAATGAGGTATACAAAACTTTCGTAGCGTGAAACTGTCAAAGTTATTTGCAGGAATAGGGAAAATACAATATACTAAGAAATTTACTCTGTACCAAAAATTGTAATAATATCCCAATTTTACCAATTTTAAGAACTAAGGATTTTTAAAGAAGCGATATCTCAAAAGAAAATGGGTTTCTTACATGGGTTTCTTTTACCAAATTTAAGAACTTAGGATTTTTGAATAAGCGATATGTCAAAAGAAAGTGCGTTTCTTACGGATTAAAATGAGGTATACAAAACTGTCGTAGCTTGAAAACTGTCAAAGTTATTTGCAGGAATAGGGAAAATACAATATACTAAGAAATTTACTCTGTACCAAAAATTGCAATAATATCCCAATTTTAAGAACTTAAGATTTTTCAATAAGCGATATGTCAAAAATGGATTAAAATGAGGTATACAAAACTGTCGTAGCTTGAAAACTGTCAAAGTTATTTGCAGGAATAGGGAAAATACAATATACTAAGAAATTTACTCTGTACCAAAAATTGCAATAATATCCCAATTTTAAGAACTTAAGATTTTTCAATAAGCGATATGTCAAAAATGGATTAAAATGAGGTATACAAAACTGTCGTAGCTTGAAAACTGTCAAAGTTATTTGCGGGAATAGGGAAAATGCAATATACTTAGAAATTTACTCTGTACCAAAAATTTTAATGATATCCCAATGTTACCAATTTCAAGAACTAAGGATTCTTAAAGAATCGATATGTCAAAAGAAAGTGGGTTTCTTACAATATACTAAGAAATTTACTCTGTACCAAAAATTGTAATGATATCCCAATTTTACCATATTTAAGAACTTAAGATTTTTGAATAAGCGATATGTCAAAAGAAAGTGGGTATCTTATGGATTAAATGAGGTATACAAAACTGTCGTAGCTTGAAAACTGTCAAAGTTATTTGCAGGAATAGGGAAAATACAATATACTAAGAAATTTACTCTGTACCAAAAATTGCAATAATATCCCAATTTTAAGAACTTAAGATTTTTCAATAAGCGATATGTCAAAAATGGATTAAAATGAGGTATACAAAACTGTCGTAGCTTGAAAACTGTCAAAGTTATTTGCAGGAATAGGGAAAATACAATATACTAAGAACTTTACTCTGTACCAAAAATCGTAAAAATATCCCAATTTTACCAATTTTAAGAACTAAGGATTTTTAAAGAAGCGATATGTCAAAAGAAAGTGGGTTTCTTACAATATACTAAGAAATTTACTCTGTACCAAAAATTGTAATGATATCCTAATTTTACCAAATTTAATAACTTAAGATTTTTGAATAAGCGATATGTCGAAAGGAAGTGAGGTATACAAAACTGTCGTAGCTTGAAAACTGTCAAAGTTATTTGCAGGAATAGGGAAAATACAATATACTAAGAAATTTACTCTGTACCAAAAATTGCAATGATATCCCAATTTTACCAATTTTAAGAAGTTATTTGCAGGAATAGGGAAATATACAATATACTAAGAAATTTATTCTATACCAAAAAATGCAATGATATCCCAATTTTGAGAACTTAAAATTTTTGAATAAGCGATATGTCAAAAGAATGTGCATTTCTTATTGATTAAAATGAGGTATACAAAACTGTCTTAGCTTGAAAACTGTCAAAGTAATTTGCAGAAATAGGGAAAATACAATATACTAAGAAATTTACTCTGTACCAAAAATTGCAATGATATCCCCATTTTAAGAACTTAGGATTTTTGAATAAGCGATATGTCAAAAGAAAGTGCGTTTCTTATGGATTAAAATGAGGTATACAAAACTGTTGTTCATGATTTTTAGAATTTTAATATAATATCTTGAATTACCTTTAAATTCGGAATGTAAATAAAGGCCTTCTAATAAAAAGGTTTCCCTTCTCTGTATATTAGTGATTTTATTTCTTTTTTACTTTACAAATTGTTTTACGGTCTTATTTATTCGAAGTTCAAAAATGAATAGAATGATTATTACAAAATTTTTAATTTGCATAGCAAGTGAAACAGATTATTGAAAAAAAAGAAGAAATAATAACAATAACAACATAATGGTAAAAACAGTTAATTTTGAGTTACTCTTCATTATCATTACATTAGGTTGTTATTAACACATTACTAGTGTATAGTGAGAGCTAATTTTACATTGAGTAATTTTGTTATTCTTTTTAAATAGATATAAGAGAATATAAAAATATCCCAATATTATAAATAGTACAGTGGGTACTCGAATAATGTTATTAATGTTTATAACACTCTTCTTAATTATTAATTATTAATATTATTTATCTATTTTAAGTTATTTGAATAATTTCACAAAAAAAAATAGGAAAAGCAAATGGTTGAAGAAAAATTTAGTTTTCTGCAACATACTCCCCCCTAGGAAGGAGAAGGATGGCCTATCGTTGGGAGTGTTTTGATTTAGTCAGTAGACTGCGCTATGCTCCGACTCACAGCGTTTGAGCTAGGCTCCATCCTTCTATCCGAGGGTGTAGTTTTGTACTTCAGTGTAGAAATTTCTTCGGTGGAATCTGTAGGTAAAAAACATATTTTAGAAATTGGTCTTTTCATGATTTTATTTTTCGTTAGTATGGATACTACCCGCACCCGACCATCAAGGCCAGGGTGTATCTCTTGAATACGACCTAATATCCATTGAGCTGGTCCACATCTGTCATCAGCAATCAAAACTAAGTCTCCAACTTTAGCATCAGGTTTCGGTGTAAGCCATTTTGGTCGAGCTTGCAAACGATTTAAATATTCCAAGTACCATCTCCTCCAAAAATGTTGCTTAAGTTTTTCTATAGATTTCCATCGATTTAAACGGTTAATGTTAATATCTAGTAAATTTTCCTCTTGAATACATGTCGTTGGCTCGCCTATTATGAAATGAGCTGGTGTTAACGCATCTAAGTCAGACGGGTCTGAAGACAAAGGGCAAAGTGGTCTAGAATTTAATACACTTTCTATTTGACAGAGTAAAGTTGCCAATTCTTCAAAACTTAAAACTCTCTCATGCATTATTCTTTTTAAATGATATTTGACCGACTTCACTCCTGCCTCCCACAGGCCGCCAAAGTTTGGGGAACCAGGAGGAATAAAATGCCATTCAGTACCAATAGATGTTAATGAATTTACCAAATCGTCAGGTAAAGATTTTTTATTCCTATGCAAAAGAACTTGAAGTTCTTTGGAAGCACCGACGAAATTTGTTCCACAGTCGGAATAAATATCTGTGCATCCACCTCTGCGAGATATAAAACGCCGAAATCCGGCTAAAAATGAGTTTGTGGTCATGTCAGATACAGCCTCTAAATGTATGGCTTTAGTAACCATACATACGAACAAACAAATATACCCTTTTGAAATAGCGGCCGATCTTAAGGTACAATTTTTAACAGATATAGGACCTGCGTAGTCGACTCCACTATGTTTAAAAGGTCTGGTGGCATTTAAGCGAATAGATGGTAAATTTCCCATTATTTGTGTAGCAGCTTTCGCTGAATAAGTAAAACAACGCATGCAGTTGGTAATAACAGCCTTGGCCAACTGATTACCAGAAATAATCCAATATTTTCTATTTACATATGACATAGTCAAACTGATACCACCATGCAATGTTTTTTCATGAGCATTATGAATTATAAGTTTTGCAAGGGGATTTCTATTAGATAGGAGAATAGGATGTTTAACGTTAAACGGCAGATTAGAATTCTGTAAACGGCCACCAACTCGAATAATTCCCTCTTCGTCTACAAATGGCATAAGTTTTCGAAGAGCTTTTTGTTTAACTTCTCCCTTACGAATGAGTAATTTTAAATCATTGGGAAAATCAATAGCTTGTGTTATTTTTATTAAATTTTCCAGAGTAGTATTCAAAATTGCCGGTGTAAGAGACCCAGTCTCTTTAGAATTTCGATTACTGCTCCTGCTATTATGAATAAATCTGTAGCAAATGGAAATTGCTCTTAATAGGCAAATTAATTTAGAAAATTTATGCAAAAAGTAAGGATATTCACAAGTTTTAATTTTATCTTGCTTTACAGATGATTCATCGGGTAGTTTATTTCCCGAAATAGTATTTACAGAAATGTTACGAAAAGAAGTTGATGAAGATGTGTGAGTTTTAGAAATTTCCTCGAATGTTTCATAATTAGATAGAGGTTTTGGCCATGATGATTGCGGTTCATACAAAAACTTCGGACCATTCCACCATATCTCACACTCTACTAGCTGATGAGGAAAAATACCTCTAGATGCACAATCTGCGGGATTTAATGCAGAGGGTACATATTTCCATTGAAAATAATTGCTATGCCGCTGAATTTCAGCAACTCTATTCGCGACATAAACCGTCCAACTCGAAGGAGGCTTCCTCAGCCAACATAGCACGGTAGAACTGTCACTCCAAAAGAATATATTTTCAATATGTCTGTCTTTGAAGGAGTTTTTTACTCTTTCAGATAATTTTGCTAATAAAGTAGCAGCGCAAAGCTCAAGTCGAGGAATAGAGACTGTTTTAATTGGCGAAATTTTAGATTTCGCTTGTAAGAGATGTACAAAAATCTCATTGGGAGTAATAACTCTGCAATAAATGGCTGCTGCGTATGCCACGGTGGAAGCATCGCAAAAACAGTGAAGTTCTAGCTTAAAATCTTTAGAAACATTAATCCATCTTGGAATTTTAATATTTGAGAATTCAGAAAGAGTCGATCTGTATTCCAACCATTTCTCATTAATATCCGATGGAATTGGGCTGTCCCAGTCTACCTTTTTTTCCCACAATTGTTTAAAAAGAGATTTTGCAACTACAGTGCAAGGAGTAAGCCACCCCAAAGGATCATATACACGAGCCGTCTCGGATAAGATTGTTCGCTTTGAAACTGGACGAGATTCATCAATATTTGTCCTATAAGAAAGAGTATCATCAGTGGTATTCCACTGAATTCCAAGTGTTTTGACAACATTGTCGCCATCAAAATTCAGAGTTAAAGATTTTTCTCTAAACTCCTCAGGAATTTTATGAAATAATTCAGGTGAATTTGTGATCCACTTTCGCAAATTACACCCACCTTTTCCCAAAAGTTTACATAAATTCCTTTGTAAAACAATCGCCCTTTCAACTGTCTCAGCACCAGATATAATGTCGTCGACATAAGAATCTGTAACCAAGATCTTAGATTCATCAGGAAATTCATCCTTATAATCTTCCGCCAATTGGCGCAGCACACGTATAGCGAGATATGGGGCTGAAGTCGTTCCATATGTCACAGTGTTTAATTGGTATACAGAGATCTCATCAAGAGGACTATATCGCCATAATATCTGCTGAAATGGACGGTGTAGTGAAATAACTTCAATCTGCCTAAACATTTTTTCAATGTCAGCACTAAAACCAATTCTATGAGTTCTCCATTTGGTGATAATCTGTGGCAGATCATTTTGCAACGCAGGGCCAGGAGATAGTTCTTCATTAAGACATTTTCGATCGTCCATATGGCTACTACCGTCGAACACTACTCTTAACTTGGTTGTGGTGCTATCATCCTTAAGCACACCATGGTGGGGCAAAAAATATGAGTTTTTCAAAATATCTGCGGGATATGTACCGATTTTGGTCATATGACCTAGTGTTTCATATTCGCGCATGAAATCTTTATATATTTCGGAAAACACCGGACGATTTAAAAATGAGCTTTCCAACTGCTTAAAACGCTTTAATGCTCCAATCATGTTATTATGAATTTTAGGAAAAGAATTATGCTTTATCAGTGACTTGAATGGCAAATTGACAACATATCTGCCAGAAGTAGAGCGTGTAGTTGTGGCCTCGAAAAAATGTTCACAAGCAATCTCCTCATCACTCAATTCACGAACTGGAGTAATTTCCTCCTGTTCCCAAAAAGATCGAAGGAGATTTTCTAAAATAACGTTATGAAAATGAATGGTTTTTGTGCGTGTTGATTCTGAAGAACCAGAGAACACCCATCCAAAAATAGTATTTTGAAAGAATAAATTATCATGTACGAAAGATTCACCAGGTATTTTAATTTTGGGGCATATATTGGATCCAAGAAGTATATCAATGGGATCCGTTCTATAATAAAATGGATCTGCTAAACTGTCATTATCAATTTTAGGCATAGACAAAGTTTTAACGCAAGTACTCGGTTGATATGACGAGACATTAGGTAGAACTAAGGCTGAGCAGGTTAAACTTGTCAGTAAATCACGTGACAATAAGTCAATATCAACCATTCCTTTAGCTAACTGATCGCTATTTCCTATTCCAGACACATGTGTACGAATTTTGCGTTTTGGAAGACGTAGGAGCTGAACTGCTTCCTCCGTTATCAAACTACCTTGAGCTGCCGGATCCAATAGCGCTCTTAAAGAAAATTGACCATTACTTGTAATTACAGAAAGGCGAATGGTATATAATATAACGTTATGAAATGAATGAGAATTCTGGACTGTAATCCGAGAATTGTCAGATTCTAATAAAACAATGTTAGAATTTTGAACTGAAACGTCATTATCAACATGCAAAACTGTATGATGTGGTTTCTTGCAGGTTCCGCATCTATATAAGGATTTGCAAAGATCGTGATTGTGACCAAGAGAAAAACAATTTCTGCAAATATTTCTATTCTCTAAAAACTCATCCTTTGCCTTCATTGGTAGTGCCAAAAATTTATAGCATTGAGAAAGATAATGATTTCTTTCACAAAATAAACATGAAATCGATTTAGATTTACTCACATTTCCGTTATGTACGTGCGTTTGTCTCCTATTCCTCGTCTGATTATTCTTTTGAACAGTTTCAGATGTGGAGGAAACAGAATCATTAATTGATTCTAAAGTTCTAAAGGTATTCTCAAGAAAAGAAAACCAATCTGATCTGTTTGGTACATCCGTTGAGGATTTTAGCGATTGTTCCCATTCCCTTCTTGTTTGTTGGTCAAGTTTCTGACAGAGTATAGGAATAAGTAAGGGATCCCATTCAGAAGTTCGAATTCCCAGATTTTCAAAAGAATTTATACATTCTTGTGTAATATCCAATAAAATTTTTATACTTTGAAAAGTCCCATCCGATTTTGGAACATTATAAAGCCTAATGGCAAGATTATCCACAATCTTTCGCCTATTGTGGTATCTTAACTCCAACATATTCCATGCCGAGTCATAGTTAGCCTCTGTAACAGATATAGATTTGATGAGAGATGCTGCTTCTCCCGACAACGTTCCCTTCAGATAGTAAAATTTCTGAATTTTGGAAAGAGAAGTATTGGAATGTACTAACGATAGATATATATCCCGGAACGGGATCCAATCTAAATATTGACCTGAGAATTCCGGTAAAGAAATCCTAGGTAAGCGCGCGTCCACACTTTTAATCGTTTCCGACCTGCTGTTAGTAAAAGCAAAAGTGCTACTAAGTGGTGAACGATTAGTATCATCCCTATGCATAATATCAAATAATTTGCCCTTAAAAGTGAAATATATGTCAGAAAATTCAAAGTAGCAATCTTCAACCATGTATGGAACATCATCCATATTCAAGGAAGTTTCACGTATTACTCGAGTGATTTCATCATGCTGATATTTGAATTGCTGAAAAAGTGAATCAAGTTCCTGCGTAAGGCTCTCAATATAACCTAGTGATTTTTCGGAATCATGTTTCAACGAAAACCTAGCATTGAGTTTATTCAATGTGGAAAGCAAATCACGTTGTGTAGCAATTAAAGACTGAAGATCACTCATGATTTAAATTTAGAAAACTCAACAAAACAAAAAAAAAAGTATTAGAGAATAAATTAAATATTTATTTTATCCAGAAATGGAATTCTAAAAATCAGGTTATGATGAAGAACAACTAAAGTAGAATTTGGTGTACAGAAGTACAATACCGTTAAATCCAAAGATTCAGATAAAGATTTAATAAAATATGTTACAATTGATATCTAACAAGAATGCTTGTCTAATCCAATGTGTGTTTGTACAGAAGTACGTAGTATTCTCCAGATCAAATTAAAATGTAATAATGTTGAAAACGTTTCCGTATTATAATACAGAAGTATTGAAAAGTTTGAGGTTACTTTTCAACAATAACGTTGTACAGATGTACAATATAAGGCTCAACTATCAGAAATGATTCCAAATAAAATTAAAACACGCGTTTATGATAAACGAGCAATATTCTGGAGAACAATGATATGAAGATAAAAGAATACTCCAGACTTGCAATAAAGTGCAAGAACGTGTAGTAGTTTCAATTGAAATACGAGAAATTTAGATGTTTAAAATGTACAGATGTACAAAAAAATATAATAAATAATAAAAAAAAAGTCGAAATCAGACCGCAAAACTTATGTAATCTCAGTCACAAGTAAACCAAAAATACACGAGGTCTTTTCTCCCTCTTCACTTAAAATACGAATAAATATTCACTAAATGATTAAAATTTCCAGACGAGAAAGGAGTCCCGGGTTTCGGCACCAATGTTTATGATTTTTAGAATTTTAATATAATATCTTGAATTACCTTTAAATTCGGAATGTAAATAAAGGCCTTCTAATAAAAAGGTTTCCCTTCTCTGTATATTAGTGATTTTATTTCTTTTTTACTTTACAAATTGTTTTACGGTCTTATTTATTCGAAGTTCAAAAATGAATAGAATGATTATTACAAAATTTTTAATTTGCATAGCAAGTGAACCAGATTATTGAAAAAAAAGAAGAAATAATAACAATAACAACATAATGGTAAAAACAGTTAATTTTGAGTTACTCTTCATTATCATTACATTAGGTTGTTATTAACACATTACTAGTGTATAGTGAGAGCTAATTTTACATTGAGTAATTTTGTTATTCTTTTTAAATAGATATAAGAGAATATAAAAATATCCCAATATTATAAATAGTACAGTGGGTACTCGAATAATGTTATTAATGTTTATAACACTCTTCTTAATTATTAATTATTAATATTATTTATCTATTTTAAGTTATTTGAATAATTTCACAAAAAAAAAAAATAGGAAAAGGAAATGGTTGAAGAAAAATTTAGTTTTCTGCAACAGATATATATAATTTTGTTCTACACAAATTGTTAATGCAATTAGTTAAATACGGTTAAATTGCTTTTAGGGGCAGGACTTAGTATGGGAGATATGACCAATTATAAACTGATCGTAAAAAATTCTTTAAGCAAAATTTCTGTACATAAAAGCTATAATAAATAAGTAATGTGTGTTCAAGTGATTTTCTGGAGGGACATTTGCATGGGACCGACCGCACCCATGTTATGGACCGATCGTGAAAAAATCTTGAAATAGAATTTTTGTATACCAAACTAATATTTGTGCCAAATTTTGTATCAATAGCTTTATTTAGTAATGAGTAATGTGCGTTTAAGAGATTTTCGTAAAGGCGCTATGATCAATTATGTACATATAAAAAGACAAAATTTCAAAATTCTGTATCTATATCATTATTTGGCAATGAATATTGTGCATTTAAGTGATTTTCTGAAGGGAACCTAGTATGAGAGCTACGACCAAATATGGACCGATCGTAAAACAATTTTATAGTATAATTTATGCATAGCTGTAAAATTTCGATTACGATTAATAATCAATTAAATTATTTTTCAAAAATAATCGTAATTCTCTGGTATAAAATGTATGATTATTAATTGATTACGATTAAAATTAATCTAAAAATAATCAGGTTTAATTTAAATTAATGAAAATAATCAAAAACAATCAAAATTTATCAAATAAGTAATTTGATTATTTTCAAGAATTAATTTTTATTACTTTTGATTAATTTCAATATACTTAGTATAATTTCCTACCTTTTTACATTAAGTGTAATGGAAAACAATTATTAAAGTTATGACACTATTCAATTATATGAATGTTTTATTGAAAACAATAAATTTATCAAGTTTATTGCTATTGAAAACCTTGATCTCAGTACAACATGTTAGAAAAAATACTGCAATCTTTTCGAAATTGGTCTCAAAAAATACGTAATTTTTAGCTGATTACGGAAAAAATAATTAAATTCTTCTTAGAGTTTTTTTTTTGGCGGAAATTATACTAAATATATGAAAAATAATCAAAATTAATCCTAGAAAAAAATCAGCTAATTTTTTTATTAATTTTGATTATTTTTATTAATTTCAATTAATCCCTGATTATTTTTAGATTATTTTTAATCGTAATCAATAATTAATTAAAAAAATTAAAATAATCGTTAATTAATCATTAATTTTACTTTTTTAATAAAAATAATCTAATTAATAATGATTACGATTATTAATCATTATTTTACAGCTATGAATTTATGTATGTAAGAGCAATATTTGTGCTAAATGTATGGATATCAATATTTTGTAATGAGTTATGTGCGTTTAAGTGATTATCGGAAGGGGACCTTGTATGGGAGCTATGACAAATTATGGACCGATCGGAAAAAATCTACTAATGAGTTGTGTGTTTAAGTGATTTTCGGGTAATATGTGCATATGAGCAATACTTGTACAAAATTTTATATGGATATCTTAATTTAGTAATGACTTATGCACGTTAAAGTGATTTTCGGGAGGGGACCTTGTATGGGAGCTATGTCCAATTATGGAGCTATCCACAAATTTTTTTCAATGAATTCTATTGACATTTTAAGTTGTAAAATTTTGTGAAGATATCAACATTCTGACGGAAGTTATTAACAAAAAAATAGTTTTCCGGGAGTATATACTCTTGTATGGGAGGTATATGAAATTATGGACCGATTATGGCATTTTTCAACAGGAATCAAGATCTTGTGTAGAAAGGAATGTATGATGACTTTCATGGAATTATCTTGCATAGTTTTCGAGAAAATTACATCAGAATGGATAAAAAATGCTTATTTTTATCGGAGTTGTTTTAAATTTTGATTCATAACTTTTGCCGATGTGAACCGATTTTGCTCATTTTCAATACCAAACTATTCCGGATAATGATGAATATTTTTGCTGAATTTCGTTAATTTCCATTGCTTCAGTTTAACGTGAGCGTGTTTTGCACAGACAGACAGACGGACATAGCTAAATCGACTCAGAATTTCATAAGGACCAAGAATATATATACTTTGTATATATAATAGTATTACTATAAAAATAGCTGATGGAGGGTATTTAAGATTCGGCTCAGCCGAATATAGCACTCTAACTTATTATACCCTTCACCTTCGTGAGAAGGGTAT